ATGTCTAAGCGTGCATTCGTGTGCCACCATGATTTTAACTGGAAACCGAATGCGTGGCGGTTTCCGGCAAAGACTGACTGATCGTATACTTGTGAAGGCTTTGCTTGACTATAGTGCGTGTTCCAGGTACTACTATTACAAGAAAATGTCATTTTTGGACCCCTACATAGAGCATCGGAACAGACGAAAGCGAGGCGATCTTATGACGAGTCTCATGAAACTTGGAGGCAATGGTTTGTTGAGATTTTTGTCTTCTGTTGGGCTGTAAGTATTTTATTATTGCTACTGATTAACGGGGCTGGTAATCTTGCATCTGACTGGCAAGTCACAATGAAATAGTTTGCAATCTGACCTTTTTACCGATTTTTTAATGTATAGCGTACTTGCAGCGGAAGGTCTCTTTGATCCCCAGATCACAGAGAGGAACGATGAGGAGGAAGCTAGCGATTCCGGAGAAGGAGAGATTGAGGTGAGTTCAAGTGTGACTTTTGTATTTGGGTGTATCTATGGGAACAGACGTGGGTGAAGCAGTAGAATAGCGCCACTTATCGCTCATACGGTGCGGGTTCAAACCCAGTCTCGCTTAGGCCAGCCAGTTCTACTACCACTCCAGAGTTAGTCACTTGGTACCAGACTCATCTGCGGGGAAAAATCCTGACTTGTACGTCGCCGCAAGTCAGTATGGTGGTCAGCTGACAACTATGAATGATAGCAGAACACGTGGCGTATTCTTAAAATGAGTTGATCACCGCCAAATGCTTTATGGTTTCTGGGACGAAATTTATAAGGTGTATTTTACCGTGCCTAATGATCGAAGTTATTGTAGGCTCGTACGGTGTCGAGGCTACGGATACATCTTGTCATTTTATGTATTTCCAAAATTGACTTCGTGGTCGATTCTTTAACGAACTTAAGGACGAATTCACGATTAGAATGAAGGTCGAAGAAGGAGTAATTCACCTAGTTGAGGGACCCGCGGACCTCCTGAGGGTGCGACTGAAGCGCAATTGGCACCGAAAAGTTGACCTCGGCGACCTATTAAGGCTCAATCTTGGCGCGGTGGGCCAGTGCACGCCCACCGATCTGATCACTCGCCGCAGGTCTATACGTGGCGAGTGATTAGATAGGTGAGAGAGCGTAGTGTTGAAGAGGGCACAGCGATGAGAGTCGCATCAATGCTCAAATCAACGGGCAAGGAAGGGGTCCCATTTCTCGGGTTCTGGGCCGTTTCTCATGGTTTTTCCTTCTTTCGTGTACCACTCACCATCCCTAGGTTAATTTGAAATGGGTTGCTTTTTCATCGTGAATTCGTCCTTTAACTTGGTTTTGTCTGAAGCGAACTCCTGAAGACACCACGCCATCATGCTGTAAAGACCTATACTGATAACTCGGGATGCTTCCACCCTGTTTGGAGGAGCGTTTGATCCTACCCTTTCAGCCTGACTTCTCATTGTTCTCAGAATCAGTGAGGACAATTCGGTGCATGTTTTTCGGGATACACGCGCTCATCATGTTCGAATATTTAGTTGACTACAATGTGTTAAACAAATTTGCTAGGAGGGTCTTGCGGTGTTCCATGATTCCGTGTGTTATCGCTAAATTAATAGTCTGTACATCAGTCAGTTCGGAGAGAATATTTGTACACGTATGATTCATATTCAAAATTCGGTCTAAGGACCACGCGCGTTGTGTCGGCGTTAGTTGTTACGGCGCCGCCTTTGCCTTCATCTTCCACCTGATGCAAATACCTTTTTTTGAATGTATAATTAATAATCAAGAGAGTTCAAGCAGTCTGATTGATTCCTATCTTATTTTCAGGATCGCTGTGACCCACTGAAAGAATTTTATGCGAGTTTTGCTGAACAGAGCATGGCGATGCCGTTACCAATTGATGTGGAGGTATGTAACGACAAAGCTTTTTTTAGTTTTTTTTTTTCATTTCATTCTGTCAGGGGCATTCGACGCTCTGGGGCGATAGTGCAGCAAGCTGTGGGACCCTCAGGGATGGGTTCTCCAATACGCGAGGGGGAACGCATCCTGTTCTAGACCTGAGGGCTGCGCCCGTCACGACCGGGTGGAGACAGCACTCCTGGGCTGAACGGCGGATCTTTAGTTGCACCGGCCAGGAACTCTGCTCCTTACACGATTTTGCGGCTGCGGGCGTTAGATTTTTATCAGCGTGCAAGTGTGCACGTGCACGCACAGCTTTAGAAAAAGCATTATTTTTGTGACAGGCAGACCGTCGGGGTATTCTGCGACAGAGGTAAATGATACCAGTAGGTATCGATCTGCGAAAACGTATGCGCGCTAGCAGCGGCGCCCTTACTCATGTGGACTACCCATTCCTGAACGGCTAAAGCGAGAGGGGGCTCGCTGGGTTCATCGGCAGTGAGGTGAAAACTCTCGAGAATTAGCGCGCTTACTCTCAAGCTCTGTATTGGTGGTAAATGCTGCGACACGGTCCAAAAAGTGATGGATTTTAGAAGAGCATAGGCACTATCCCAGCCAGGTTCTAATAATAATTTTATTCTGTGTGCCCAATCAAAATGATTATTTCATTACCGTGTTTCTTGTTGGTTGTATTTGTTGTTCAAAGGCGGATTTCACTTTAGAAAGTAAAGTTTGAGATGGTCAGTGATAAGCGAAAGAAGAAAAAATCGAGAATTGGCTCAAACGAGAATGGCGCATATTTGCCGGTGGTTAATGCATTGTTGCGACCTGCATCGTTATACCTCTACGCTAATAGCTCTCTCTGCCACAACGGCTAGAAACTTCATTCACGAGACGACGCGGAGGGAAGGGCAAGCAGCTTAACAGCGCTATGCGCTTGGAAGAAGGATGGTTAGATCAACGAGGCATATTGTTCGATGCGAACGACTGTCCTTCCGATCCCTAGGCGTCGGCGGTGCTCTCTCCATAGGCAGGTCGCCTTTTTCGGACGCTTCGTCCTTCGATTGTGAATCCTCTTTTAAATGTATATATTGTTATCTTGCCCGTTATAATGCTATACGAAGTTATTACGAGGCTCATCGGGGAAGAAGAGGAAACTCGAAGAGGTGCATGAGGAAGACGTTGGAGACACAGAGGTAATTGTCATCAGGACGGTTTTTTTACTTCATTTATTTCGAATAATTGCAGTTCATCGATTGGCCCTATTTATTTGTATGGTTACTTCCTATTCAGCTATCATCATCGTTTTTAGGTTTCCTTATTTGTTCGCTCGATTGAAAAGTCGTTAAGCGGCATGGATGCACGTACGTTCGCTTTGGCACGATTGGAAATATCTCGGGTTCTTTTTGATTGTCAATATGGAGATAGAAAACTGGTCTAATGACACTTGATCTCCTCCCGGTTCACTGATCTCACTGTAGTTCATCTTTCATTAGAGTTCATGTATTCCTTCTGTATTCCTACATATCACGAGACGGGATTGGGCGCCAGCCGTGCTTTGCGCCACTTCTCAACGGAGAGATTCGTATTCGAGTTTTTCTTCGGAGGAGGGGTCGTTTTACAAGTTGCTGAAGGTCGAAAGCTTGTAAAACGGCGTTCTTTCTGAGGGACTCTCTGAGACGGATTGTGGTGGAGGGGGTCGTATCGAGATCCCTCCAAAGGTTAAGAGCCGAAAATTTTTCCGGGATGGAATAACAGGCGGCTGATCCTTATGAGGGCGGCGCTAGCGCACTATTAGGCCATCGCATCTGAGCGGAAGATTGTTGCCCCGGTGAACCATAGCGACGGAAAATTTTGGGGCCAATTCACTTGAAGATTATTTGCAGATTCCAAGTGGACCTTATCTTGTAAAAGCCCTTGCTAGTTATTCCTCAGTAACCCTTCTACCACTCCCTGCTATATTACTTTCACCGAAGACTCCCCTTTCCCTACCCCTTCCACCGTTTCTAAAAATATTACCGGTACCACATTTCTCGATAGGAATTCTAAAACTGACGGTCGACCGACGCTTAAAGGCAGTGATTACGGTAGGTATAAGAAGGTCAAGGGGAGACGTGGTGGTGCTCAATGGTACGTCGGTGGCGAAAAAGCGGAGAAATCCGTCAAAAAACGCAAAATGGGACCCCCTTTTTGGCCGTTGGTTTTCACTCATGAACAGGTAACAGCTCAGAAAGCGGACGTATGAACGAGTTCAGCGCAACGCGTTTGGTGGCACCATGCCAAACCACGCTCCAATCGAGTTGCTCCAGTTGTGCCGCTGCTGGCAACGCAGCTCGTCCAAATCACCAACTAAACTAGTGGGCGGATCGCTTTTGGGGGCGGAGTGCTTTCGAAGTCCTGCTCAGCAACCAGCGCACCTTTCGTCGTGAAAGCGCTACACCTCGCTTCCCTGGCAGCCAAGTAACTGATTCGTGTGGTGCATATGCTTCCCGATGCGCTCCCTCTTTATC